AATAATATGCACATATTGTGCATATTAAAAAGAACCCAAATTACTTTATTAAAAACAAAATAAATGGTAAATATACAAGATTTTGATCAAGTTTTACATGCACATTTTATGCATATTAATTAATATTTTTTAGATACATACCAAATTATTGTGCAGGTTTTATTTAAAACTTTTAATGCAACATGTGCAGGAACCTTTTAATCATATTTGCACATTTTAAAAAATATCTGCACTTGTGCAGCTTGTGCAGGCTAATTTTAAACACCGTGACGGAGGCATAAGTTATTGAGTTACATGTGATTCTGATGAATACGAAAAAAAAAACCTTCCCTTTTTACAAAGCTCACAAAGAAAATTTCAAAGCATCAATAGTAACATCATCAGATAAATCTGATAAAGAAATTTTATGGACAAAGCAAGTTTCGAGAATTCTGGAGACGGTATGTCACCAGAATGAAAAGAAACAACTAGAAAAATTGTTTAGAAAAGTTCTTCATTAATAACTACAAGATAGCAAATTTGCAAAATTTGTTATTATAATTATTTTTTGAACAAGGAACGCTTCCTTCTCCTCCAGAAGAAGATATTTAAATGGTCATGGCGTATACAGAGTTGCTCAAATCGAGATTTAGAGGCTAGTTACACGTGGAGAAAGCAGTTTACTTCAAAACCTTCTTAAAAAAAGTTAGGTAAATTAAATTTTAACTCCGGTCGAAATTTAATTTTCAGACAGATTAAGATTTTTTTGTGATTACAATAGCCGGTTTATTAACCGGTTAGGATTTTTATTAATATCTTTAAGACTTCGTAACAAATTCATGGGAAGAAAAATATGTTATAAAAATTTCATTTTTCTTTAAATTTTTGATTGGATAGAATTAGAAGTGTTCAATGTGCCGAATGAGGAAGTAATGTTGAATTCCTTGTATGTAATTTAATTAATAAGTGGGAGGTTTGCTAGGAGAATGGGGCTCTGAGCATTTTTATTAAAATTTTAATTGCATTTTAATTTTTGATAATGTTAGATTAAAATGCAATAAATATTAAAAATGCCCAAAGCCCCATTTTCCCAAGTATTATTTCCTTTTATTTTTAAAATACATTTTATATAATTCTCAATTCGTAAATATCGTTATCGCCTACATAATAAATTAAAAATTAATAATCTCCTCCAATACAAAATTAAGTGGTGACAATAACAAGAACGAGTCATAAGTTGTGATTTAATATCATTTAATTCAAAAACAGAATATTGTTGACCAAAAAGTACCTGAACCAGCGTATTTGTCGAAATGATATATCTAAGCACCTAAATATGATGTGACTATATACTCAATAAATAAGCTTAAACCAACCTAATGTGTCAAATAAATGTCCATGAGCGTCTGATCCGGGCAAGGCGAAGATGTTAAATATGATGTTTCTTTGACACATACGACTGGTTTAATTTATTTTGTTGTAGGTTTAGTCATAACTGGTTTGTTGCGGACGTGTTTGTCGAGTTTTAAAAATTATAAAAAGAAAAATCGAATTTAATAATCTAAATTAAATTAAACTTAAATTATCTATTTTTAAATATGTGCGACTGATCAGTTTTTGAAAACTTTTTCATTTATTACAAGCGATAATAAATTTACATTCTAGGTTATAAAGGCCATTGCTGAGAAACACGTAAAATATTCTATTTCTTAAATTATGATTTAAAATCAACAAATCAATATTTTACCACAAAATGTTATTTTTGTCATAAATATTCATAAGAACATTTATTTAACAAATATCTATTAAGCCCATTTATGATAAATTGCCTAATCTGTACTTCCAATTTGATAGAGTAAGTTTGATACTTGTCTCGAAATCATGTGATTGTCACATCCAATGATGACAAAATGGCTTCAAAAAAAATCTTGTGAATTCTTAAGAAGGCCTTCACTGCCTGTGTTCTTGCATTTATGCAATTATTGTAATAAAGGAGTTTCAAAACTATTGTATCTACCTAAATTATCACAATAAAATGGATCGTTATTTTTAAGTAAGTTATTTATTAACACAAGCACAATAACGTTAATATTGTGTGATTTTATAATCTTAACTAACATACCTAACCCTAATTCCACGCCACAAGTTGAGGGTGGCGTCTATAGGTTTTTACATCCTAAAAAAAACTATGTTTCCAGATTAAATGATTAAATAGTAAAAAATGAAACATAGTGGGTGTCACGTGTGACTGATATAATCTTATCACATGACCTGAGGTTTTTTTGATGGTTACTTGGGGAAGTTATCTTGATCTAATGTCATAAGGAAGTTTATTTTATTTTTATAATTTCATTTTGTTTTATTTTATTTCAAGTTACCGCTCTCTTTAACAAAATTTTTTATTTAATTTATCATACATTTCTTTTAGTTTCTACCAGATATTTTTTTTTTAAAAAAAAACAATGGAACCACCTTTTAAGAAGCCGTTAAAAAGGTAAATATGCTTGCTTTCAATTTATAAGTTTAATAATAACTTCTACTATATTTAGTTGAACTTTACTTAATAAGCCTGTTAAAGTCCACTTTTATAGGTTTTAATAAGTATAGACGTTAAGCATCGGGTTCGAGCATTAGAAAATTTCGATCAGATGTAAAATTTAAAAGTCTAATTGAAGAAATAACTACATAAGTAGTTAGAAGGGAAACTGTACTGTGTTACTTTATTCGTTTAAAAAAGAAGCAAGATGGAACTGAGTACCATGTTTCTTCAGTTAGCAGTTTTCTTTATGCTATAAATCAACATTTGAATGAAAAATCAGCACTTCCTAAGCTGATCAATATTCTTGATAAATAATATGGCAAGTTTCACTGAAGAAGAAATTTTACATATTATGAACCATCCAATCTTGACAGATGAAAATCCTGAGAGAAACTCTGTTGGTAATAAGGTCGAACTACCAAAATATTTATACAAAAATTATTTGCTAGCATATATATATATACAGTATAAAATACTGTATATAAGATAATATATATAATTGAAAATATGAAAGTAAATTAATGCCCTATGAAGATTTTAGCTCTCTTTTGGATTCATATATGTATATTAAAGTGATATCCCAATACGATCAATAATATTTGTTTGGTTACTCCAGCTTCACATTAGAAATTACAATTGTTCAAAATTTCCATTAGAAATTATTCATACCATTTTAATTTCTGTTTTCACATCTGCTCTTCCTAAAAAATAAATGATAGAAAATTAGTTTCACGTCACGAGAAATCACATGATAATAATATTTAAAATCATTAATACCTTTTGTTTAATTAAAACAAAAAATTAAGATGATCATGGAAAAGAATTCGTTAAAATAAGAAAAATAAATCCTTTCCTTGTAATATAACATTGCATTGCTTTGAAATTCTGAAAATCAACATATATGTAATTAACATCTTATAAGTTTGTTTTATCGTTTACCCAATTCTACATTTATCATCTCTTTCTAGAACATATGTCCTTTCAACAACCAAAATACCATTAATATTGGAATACATTCATCCCCTCTCCTATAACTTTCCTTTTTTCTTTGAATTAATTGTTAACTTATATAATTTTTTCGAAAATTTGTTCGCTTATTTAGTATCATTATGTTTTCGAAATTCGAAGAATTTTTCGATGGATTAGAAATTTACAATCGTCTTGATATTATCGGGACAAACTTTTGTTACTAAAAAAATATTTGTAAACAATTTAAATAAAATCAATTCAAATCTTTTTTTTTTGTTCAAGAATTCATTAACCTCTTGAGATATATGCATCTCAACGTAACGTATCCTCGTTTTAAATTGATAAATATGATTGAAAGGATCCGTTCACATTTGTATGCTGATGTAATAAACCAATGACGATTTATTAATTGTAGCGTTTTAATTCCACAAGAATCATTAGGATACACAATTTTAGTGAAAATAAAGTTTCAAAACTTATGGAATCACATGACCCTCGTTAAATATGGTTTAAACATCGGTTTCATTCCGGAATAACTGTCAAAATACTTAATTTCGGGATTACGTATTCTTAAAGAATTAAGATATAATGGTTGCATTAAGTTCGTCGTGAATTTTGGGATAATATTTTGTTAACCTAATTTAGGAATGATGCAAGAAAAAAGTAAAAGCTTAAAGTATAAGTCAATTCCAACATCACGTGTTGCGAGAGTCAATTTAGTGATGATGTAAACCAATTTGTAACTGTACACGTCTTGGATCAAATTTAGCAGTTATATGTTTGCAAATGAAATAATGATAATGTAAAGAATAGATTTTTATTATTACAATTAATATAAAAACTTTTAAACTGCGGTTAAGTCAAACATCAATCGGTTTAAATGTAATTAGCTGGCAATAATCACAAAAAATTTTAATTCTGCCCGAAAATTAAATTTTGGCCAGAGTTACAAGCAATCTTCATATTCATTAGCAACCTTCAATGGCATATTCACCTTTTCATCAAACTCGTCTACAGTACTCTACAAAGAATTATCAGCTTGAGTTCATAACTTCAAAATATCATTGCATTACAATACCACAACAAGAACAATACGCAGCCAGAATCTGACTAGCTTGACTTGGTCGCACGAATTTGACAATTTCTTCGTGTTGAGCTTCAAGAATTTTATATAAGCGATTTCAACCCTGGTACTAATGTTGGCGCAAGACTACAACTGAAGAGAAAAGGCAATAATGATACTGCATAAGCTGATCTGAACTACAAGATACATACTTTGCTATCGTCTCTTTTGACAGGAGCGGTTTGTGTGTGTATTTGTTGAAAATGAGATACGTGGGCCCCTCCTTCGGCGTCCCATTGGATTCAATCATTTTTCTTTTCAATTCATTAGGTTCATTTTGTTCACTCTCACTCTCATGCTTATTTGAATGTATTACCGTGATTTAATTACTCGCATAGTTTTGGGTTCTCTTGTGTTTCTTGTAGTAGTCCATTTTGCAAAAAAATAATTTCAAGTGTAAGCTCTATTAGATTCAATGGCAATAATATTTCTCACGAGTACCTGAAGATCTTTTAACTTCTCTTTTAATTCGACTTCAACAGATGTCCAAACTGTATCTAAGACTCCTCCTTTTCGACGTCCTCGCTATGTAATTGTTAGTTTTAATCGTAAGTCATTATAGATAATAAAGTGTTACAACCACCCACGACGATCGTCACTCATCGAATCATAACGGGGCATCAAGCAGAATTCCCGCGTAGTCGTAGATATCCAAACCGTTGATATGGCCACGGCCTAAGAGAACTTCTATCCAGCACATTTGTACAAGAAAAAAACTACACTCACCTTAGCTGTTTCTTGAAGCGTTATTGCCTTTCTTATGTATCAACATTGGCCGACGTGTTCACAATACTTCGCAAACTCTTGTTGAGTTTGTCTGCAGCCGTCTTTTACTCAAGTTTTTCCTGTCTATATTTGTTTTTTTCTATGAAAAACCGATGGAACTCGACAATATTCCATTCAATATTGTTCTTCAAATCGAAGTATGATCGCTTGTCGGCCATTTCTGCGGGTCATGCAAAATAAGGTGAAAAACGTCATCTCTGACGTTTTATACGCAAGTAATTTACCTGGGTTCCTGTGACGATAAAAGGGTTCCTTCCATTTAAAAAGAGTATTTGAAAAAATATTAAAACTGTTTTTTGCGAAAAGTGACTCGGGAATTATCACTGACACGAGCATGGTTATAAATCTGTTAATGACAAATAAAATCTGATCTCATGTGATCAAAAACAGCCAAATATTTTTTTTAATTTCGCACACAACTTTATTTCATGAATTAAATTGGTTTTATCTAGCAATATATTGGATACTGGCTATAATTTCAATGTATTTTTGCTAAATTCTCCTTAATTGTTTCGCTATTGTAAAAGAAAACATATCTTAACTCTTAATATTAAATTGAGAGTTTCTATTTCCGTTCTTTATTGGTAAAATATTAATATCTAAATTACATAATCGATTCAAATGCAATATTTAGCAGCATTGAGAAGAAGGGCATCAACACCCATTCTTTTATGTTTAAATCACGTGATTTTCGTTAAAAACTGATAATGCGAACTTTTCGTTTCTTATAATAAGATTAAATAGGTCAAAATGCAAAGGTGCAAAATACAATTATAAGAAATCATTATTCAAAAATCATTTTTTACGCATCACATGATAAAAGTATTAAATTCATACTTTATACAAACATAAAAAATTTATTGAGCTATATTTTAAATTATATCATCATATTATTATTATACCCTGAATCTAACACAAAATTATTTATTCTAAAATATTCAAAATATGATAATCACTTCAATCATATTATATGCATAAACAATTCTATTAATATCAACTTAATATGAATAATTATTTTAAAAATTTTGCTTACTTTGTGTCATTTCGCTCAGTTTACCGTTCTTTAAGCAATGCTTGTCCCAGTATCACTTTTAATTATCCGCTATCCTAGAAAAAACATTTGTTTTTTATAAATCTAATAAGCTTATAGTCCGTTTAAAAACTCATCATAACATCTTCCTCTTCATCCATATCGATATCATTATAGAAATCAAATAATTCTTTAAATTCTTTAAATACTTGGTCTTGCAGGTAGAATTTATTACATGTATCAGGTACTAAATATTGCGCATGAAATTGTTTATCAGATTCTTCATCCCCGTTACTCTCACTAGAACCATCATAATCAGAATTTGATGATTCACTCTACGTTTCGATATATCACCATATAATTTTTTTTAGTATTAGCAATTGATAATTGTAAGATTTTCTGGACAAATATTGATGGTCTTATTTTGAATATATCAAAAACATATGAATCATCATCAGAAGATATCGGTAAACAATCATCAAATTCTTCAGAAACTGGATAAAGAAGTTGATCATTGGAATCGTCGTATGTTAAAGAATATTCATAAGAATTATCATAGTAATGACCCGACTTTTCCAGTTCATCAGAAGAACTTGTAAAAAACGGAGAATGTTCATAATCGTAAATCTCATAAGGGGTCTGATAAAGTTTCGTTTTAGAAAAATTTTCGAAGCTTAAATCTTGATCATAAAGCTCATCATCCGAGAGATCATAGAAATTGTAATGAGTGTATGTCATTTTTTCTTGAAGTTCAATAAGTAAATACAAGGAACGAACGAGATAAAAAAAAGTTATGCAGGCAAGAAAATTAAATTGTGCACGTTCAAAATTAGATACATAAATGATGATCTGATCAATTTTTTTTGCTACGTGATCTGCTACGTTACGCGAACGAAACTACATGTCATAAGATGATGGATGGTGTTAGCCATATTAAAAAAAAAAAAAAAAAAAATATAGTAATAAATATGCAAGTATTAATAAATTATTAACTGAATCAATCATAATAAACATTATTATGGAGCTATTTCGTATATATATTACTCCAGAATTATTTCAAGAAATAAATGTAAAAATATACTAAAGCCAATATATATATATAGCTTTGGGATATTTTTCAGATTTGAATGAAAATTTCTGATTTTATTCGTCGAAAACGCGTATTTTTAGGCTTGTTTTTTACTTTATAGTTCCTGTTGAACATTTAAAAAAATAATTTTTTTTTTATTAATTGATATTTGCGGATCATTTTTTTTTATTTTACAAGTCGCAGACCGTAATCTAGATATAAAAGCAATGAATATAATTTTTAAGCGAACTAAATTTTAAGCAATTGACTAGTCGATTATTTTATTTTATTTTTTTTTTTAAATAACTCAGTTGGAGTTACGTTATTTAATTCAAAATTTAATTTTGTTGTTACATGAACTTATTATTCAATTTTTATAACTAAAATTTTCTTTTGATTTAAATTCAAAAAAAAGCTAATTTTATTAGGAACAAGATTTTTAAACTATTAGATTTATTAAATCATTGATACTAGTAGATACAATACAGTTGTTCTACTTCAAGTTCACGACTATGTGGAAAGCTAGTTTATGGAAGACTTTATCACTTACAGATATTTTTAGTTGAAAAATTGTCAATGAAAAGGTCATATTCATCTTTGTAAATTTTCTTCTTTTCCCACTCTTTCTTATTAATTACTTCAATATATGAAGACTTTTATAGCTAAATAATAATTATTCAAGTTCTTGTAAAAAGTAATTTTGGTAGTCTTGAAATTACCAAATATTTTTCATTTGAATATTTTGAAAAAAATAACGATGACTTCACATTAGGCGCAGTAAGCTTTTTAAGTTCAAAAACTATTGATCGTAGATTTCCATAAATAAAAAGTGGTTTTTTTTATGTACAATGTTTTCATATTTATTGCCCAAAGATCACTAATCATACTTATTGTATCGAATACAATACATTATTTCGAATATCTTCCAAAATACAAAAGTAATAAATTTTTTTGTTAATGTGACGTGCTTCCAATCTTATGCAACGTAAGTAAGAAGCGAATTTTCAATTTTAAAATTGTACGCTTAATCGACATATGATCTTTAAATTTCCATTACTTGAACATTAAAAAATCTGCAAGAAAAATCATTAAAAGTTTAATAAATCGAGAATGTCTTTGTCATAATATTTGAGCATGTAAGTAATTCAAGTTATTGTTTATGGTTTTGTCGGATCTGATTATTTTTTGTTTGAAATTCAAAATAATACAAGTAACAATTCATGGAAGAATTCAAGTACTTGTACAATACAAAATCAAGGATTTTTTTTTTTTTTTGATAATACATTTGATAATACAAAAGACTAAAAAAATTATGCATTATTTGTATTGTAATCGCAATCAACAAAAATTCGGTCGACAATTACCCTGTAACTACATTACGTGATAATATTCGTAGTTGGAAACTTAGATTACATTTCTGACAATAATAATGTTTAATTATAATACACATTAAAAAGCACGTATTTTGCTCAAAAGTTATAAAAGCAAGGGCCGCTCAGAGCTACATTGCTGCATAACAAAACAACTAAAAAAAAATCTACTTCTTAAAAACACAACATTTCACCTATGACAATTAATATGCAAAGAACTACATTCGATCCAAACTTTTCTATTTTTAATAAAAAGTTCGTTCCCGTTATCTCAGATCGCTTTTTAGATATGGAACCATTAGAAGGTGATCAATTCTGGCCTAAACAACACAAATCATCTAATAAGTTGAAGAAAATCGTCTGCAAGTCATTAAAATCTTTAAAACGCAAAATATTCCGCAAACAAAAAGAAATCGCCGCGGTCAAAGAAAACAAGTCTTCAGACATTACATCATTCACATCTGATGAAGATATTATTGAAATTGATGAAATTGATGAAATTATTGATATTTATTCATCATTTTCACATTTCAGGAATATAGGAAGAATCTAACTTTTGGAATTATCGTCGAAGATGAAGCACGTCATCTACTTTAGACGAAAATGATACCATTTATAATATCAAGAACGATTCTACCAAATGCAATCCATTAGAAATAAAATCAATTCGTAATGAAGGCGAAGGACTCCGTTAACGTATCGCGCAATATTTCTCATTGTATGTTGAGCATATTATTTGAACAAAAGATTGTTTCTCCTTTGAGTGAAGATCTGTTTTTTTTGTGCGATAATGATTATGGCGATTCTATCAAAATTCACTGTGAAAGAATATATGAACATTATTTATCAAATTATTTGATAAGAAAGCAAGGATGAATAGAAGCAATTTTTAATCTTGACTATCTTCTATATACTCGAAGGTATTGGTAAGTAGTTGTAAGTACATAGTATAAATATGTATATTTGTAATTAGCTTAAATAATGACATACTTTTTATAATTTTTTGTTAAATTATTAATGTTACTTTCTATATATTATGCATATTTTATTAAAAAAAATCGAAGCATTTTTATTTTTATTTTTAAAAAACTTTGACACAAAAATATGTATCTAATAAACCGAAAATTTCCGTGTTAATAATTTCATGATTTACTATACAAAATCAATGTGTGCCGAGTCTGATTTGATATTTAAATTTCAATTAGAAAATCTTACATCTGTCCCTATTCTGTTATCGGTTGGAATAGGATTTAAGTATGTTCGTTTGATATTCAGCTAATCCAAAAAGGAAAAAATAAAGGATAAAATTATATCTGTAAAAATAGCAATATTTTATAATATGGAATTATAATTTATTAGGTTGCAAAGAAACTCTCGGAACATTTGCTTTTAATATCAATTTTAATTTACCGAATTTACCAGCTGTCGTTGAATATAATCAATACAAGATGTAAATAAAAAGTTTACAGAAGTTGTTGAGGTGAGGAAGCTAACATGATTAAAAAACTAAAAGTAAAGCTGTAATTAATATTATCACAACATGCTCATAATATAATGCAGTTCACTCTTTATTTTTTTCAAAACAATTTATTTTTGGTACTTAAAATCCTTTTGCAACCAACATTGAGCTAGGTTTAGGGGATAATGGGAGTGAATTGTAAAACAACCTCTATACGGTATCCTCTGGAATTCACTTGCTTCATCATCAGCAGCTTTCTTAAATAATTTAGCAACAATCTTTTCTTTCTCCCTGAATTTAATATTTAAATAATCCAATGCTTTCGACATATAATATGCTATGCCTTATAATTTTTAACCCCTCGAAATATTAAATATTGAAAACTCTTTAAAGCAACTACCATGCGGTTTTTACGAGATTACCTTGTTTTTAGTTAAAGATCAAAATACTCCTTATTTTTTGTTTATAATTCTCGTAATTTCTAAAATCAATTACCAAATATAAGTAATTTTTATCATAAATGAGCCCATGATATTTGATGATATTTTGAAAAATTTGAAATTCTTAAAGAATTTAAACCTAATGCTGTGCGCTATTCTTATCCACGTGCTTGAATGCAGATTCTTGACCTTTATATTTAACTAGATCAATCATACTACAGGATTAAAGCAATATAATGCATATATAATTAATTGCATCAAGAATAATTTAAGTCCATTTGCGCTGATGATGAATAAATAATAATGAATATATGTTTGAGAGTGCTAATATAACTACGTAAAAAAAAATTGCAAATATAGTTGGGATTCTTTCACCTTCGCATTTGCGCTCTCCAAAGCAATGACAGATTTATTTTATTTCAAGAAAAAATTAATAAATAATTTAAATCTCTCTGAATTACATTTGAAATAGACGACGTTAATTTAAAATATAAAATAAGAAGAAACAGTTAACAATGTTTTTAATAAAAAAGGTGTTGAAGATCAAAAAATGTTGATTTTTTTATATTAACATCATAATCGTTCAAATAAATATATGAGAGTAAAATTTAAATAGTGTAATCAAGTGGCACAGTAATCTCTATGTCTTTCGAATTACCTACTTATTAATGCCTTTAAGTTGTTGTAACACGGAAAAATTGATACTGAATGAATGTTTAAACTTTATGGAAATGATTGATAGATTTCATTTGAATAATATGGGTGGTATGCTATTAAAATTGAGGTACGATACATAGTAAATCATATGATCCGTACATATACCCCCCATATGTCAAGGAATTACTCACCCGAAATTTTAGAACGAATTGATTGTAATTATATTTTTTATATATCAAGTTTTTTGAAAGAAAATCTGCTACAGCTTTCATTGATCGAATTAAAAAGCTTTTTTTACATTTATAATCCAAAACGTAATAAATGCTCGCGTGATATCAAAATTCGTTAAAATAATACAATTCGGGCTTTTTTAAATATAATAATTTCTTATAATTTAAAATAAATGAAAATACTTTTGTTGAAATCAATTGTCATTTTATTGCATTATTTTCTCTGAAAAATGTTAAAACATTCTTCGTACTATCTAGCTTTATCATTTTATATGGTATGCAATTACTTAATCCAATCAATATTCTGGATTTAAGAATGTATTATTTATTGTAGTCTTAATAAGGATTAATATTTTCTAGATATCAGAAAAACACTTAAAATGAAGGTAACATTATCCTAAATATGAGTAATTAATTAATGGTTTAACTTTTTTCGGATTTTATTTTATTTTACTAAATATTTAAATATTCTTGGGTTTCTTTTATTTCTGCAATTGTTACAAGCAGCCCTTAATTTTTATTTAAAAATTCGTTTATACTGTATATTTTTTGTGATAACATCTGAACAAAACTTTTATTCATTCGATAAATATTAGAAAGATTTTTTTTTTGTTTCGATTAACCAGACCAGATTTAAATTAGAGAATATTTTCACGGTAACGCATATTGAAAAAAACTAATTTTAGTAATAATGTAATGCTTAATGAAGAAGAGAAGAGATTGTATAATTGAGTTTATACATTCATTTAATTTGATTTTCGTTAAATTGAAAAAAAGAGGTCTCGAGACAGCAAATCTGTCACTGATCACATGATTAAAATTTATTATCTTTCCTTTTTTGTATTAATTTAAATTTTATTTATATTTATTATACAACGCGTTAAAACCTTTGATTTTGGGTTTGGGTGTTTCGGATCGCAGCGATTGAATATTTTCTTTTTTCTTTTTTTGAATGGACCTTTTCCTTTTCTTTATGTTTCACTTTTAGCTTCTACAAGTATTAGAAAATTCGGTTTTTTTTAATTTTGGATTGATTGGTTTTTTTTTCACCTTTGAAAATTAAGGCTGCAACGATAAATTATTATTTTTTCTTTTCAATTTAAAAGATGTTTTTTTTAGTTGTTTTTTTTTCGAGCTACTTTTCAATAAAGCTATTATAATTATTATTTTGTAAATTTTTTTTGTTTTTTATAAATATTTTCTTTTTTTATTATTACTTGACGATTTTGGATCGCTGCTGATATGTCTTCTTTTGAAATAATTATTTTTTACGAAAATCAGGGGTGGACGGAAAGAGTTTAACTTATTTGGTAATATAAGAAAGTTACTCAAGCAGACTAGTTTAATTATGAAAATAATTACTAGAAGAAGAAACCAAAGAAAAACAAGAAACTATAAATAATTTAGAAGAAAAAGTTAAAGAAGAAACCAAAGCTATGTAAGAAATAATTAATAATTATGAAGAAAAGTTTAAAGAACGAGAGGAAGCATCCAAGAAAAAGCAAGATATTATTAATGAATTAGAAAAGAGAATCAGAAATCTTGAATTAATAATTTATGATGATAATATTGATAGTTTAACCATTACTGATATTAACAAGAACATATGAATCAACACAGGAGAATTGCTAAAATATCGAAACTTAACAACACTCGAATGTGATAGTACTAAAATAATCAGTCTATCAACTTTACCCAACTCCTTATCAATACTCTGTATAATAATACCCAAATAACCAGCTTACTAACTTTATCCAACTCCATAACGACACTCTATTGCTATGATACCCAAATAACCAGCCTACCAACTTTACCCAACTCCTTAACGAAACTCATTTGCTATAGTACCCAAATTACTAGTTTGCCAACTTTACCCAACTCCTTAACAATACTCTATTATTACAATACTCCAATAGCCAGCCTACCAACTTTACCCAATTCTTTAATGACACTCTATTGTCATAAAACTCAAATAACCAACTTACCAAATTTTCCGATTTCTTAACAATTATCAGACTTAAAAATTTAAAAAATTAATACTTTAACAATTATCTTACCAACTTTTAATACATTTAATTATTTGCTTTATTTTAACGAAGATTTTATTTATTTTTTCTTAAATAATAAAATAATAAATTTGATTTATTGGCTGGCTCAAGCATCTATTTATTAATTTTGAAGAAAAAATAAATTTTTTAATAAAAAGAAATACTAATTTAAAATAAAAATAGGTTTGTTACAACCAATTTTCATATTTAGTTGCTGAGTTAGAAAAGCAAGATATTTGCGATTTAACCGTAAAATACATTTATTCTACATTAACTTGTTATATGCAAACAAAAAATTAAAATTTTGCATAATTTGTTCTGTAGCAAATGAATGCAAAAAGTAAAATCCATATATACCATTATAACGGTAAAATAAAATAATGTTGATCATAATTAAAAATTTTACATTAAAAGATCGTCAAAAATTGATCTTTAAATTTATAGCTGACTTAGTTAACAAATATGATACATATTTGACCGATAATCTATATTATATTTGTTATATTTGTTAACTTTATTAAATTAGTCATATTTATTATATTAGATATATAGTCGACCATCTATATAGTCACACCCCCTTGGGATTAAAATAAATGGCGTAATTATAAAAATTCTATATGGTGTGAATAAAAAGAAGAATATAATACTTCTTCTTTGGTAATTATCACTGAAACATTTCCTTGTAGGTATTCATATTTTTATGCAATATTTGAAATAAG